TAACTCCCATATACAGGTATAGACTCTCCCCTTCCACAGGTTTAGACAGCAGGGGTGCAGATGTTAGATATTGCTTAAGCTCGTCAAACGCCTGCTGACACTCGTCGGTCCATTGAAAGTGTTTGGGCTCTCGCAGGGCTTTGAAAAACAGCAGGCATCTTTCGGCCGACCTGGCTATGAATCTGTGTAATGCAGCTACCCTACCTGTTAGACGTTGCACATCCTTTACAGTCTTGGGAGGCTCCATCTGTTGAACGGCCAGAACCTTTTCTGGGTTCACTTCAATTCCTTTCTTGGATACCACGTATCCTAGGAATTTTCCTGATTCTACAGCGAACGTGCACTTCAGAGGGTTCAACTTCATTTGGGCTCGACGCAAATTCTGAAAGGTCTCGCTCAGATCGACTATATGGTCCACGGCTCGCACGCTGGTGACTATCATGTCATCCACATACACTTCTATGTTTCTGCCAATCTGGAGCTTGAAGACGATTTGTACCAGCTTCTGATATGTAGCGCCAGCATTTTTCAAGCCGAATGGCATCATCACATAGCAATAGATAGCGTCCCCTGCGTAGAAAGCCGTTTTCTCCTGGTCGTCCAACAGCAACTGAACCTGGTGATAGCCCGAGCTGGCGTCAAGAAAACTCATCCGTTCATGCCCAGCTGCCCGCTCCACTAACTTCTCAACGTTTGGCAGGGGATGAGGGTCTTTTGGACACGCATCATTGAGGTTGGTGAAGTCAATACACATCCTCCACTTGCCATTTGGCTTTTTGACGAGTACAGGGTTGGACACCCATTCAGAGTACTCCACTCTCCTGATGAAGCCTGCCTGTAACAGCTTTTGTATCTCTTCATCTATTGCAGCTTGCTTCTCGGGGCCAAAAAGGCGACGTTTCTGCACCACCGGCCTTCGGGTGGGGTCCGTGCTGAGCTTGTGGACCGTCAACTCTGCGAGGACACCAGGCATTTCATCAGTAGTCCATGCGAACACATCTTGATTGACCCTCAAAAACTCCAGGAGCTCTACTCGTTCTTTCTTTGTGAGCTTGGTGCCGATCTTGACTGTTCTTTCCGGCATATCAGGGTTTAGAGGAACAGTTTCTACTGGCTCTACTGGCTCTGCTTTCTGTCCGACGCCCTCAGGTCTATGCTCAATGTCCGATATGCTCATTGTCTGCTGGCCGGGCTGAGTCGGCCTACCAATTTCAGAGCTCCCAGGGGCTACAGCGAGCTCAACCTTCTTAAACGTATCCTGGTAACATGCCCTGGCCATCTTCTGATTCCCCTTCAGCACTCCCACCCCCAGAGGCGTTGGGAATTTCATACAGAGATGGGGTTGTGAGATGACAGCCTTCAGTTCGCACAGAGTAGCCCTTCCTAGTATGGCGTTGAAAGCTGATTCCATTTTGACGACCAGGAAGCTGACTGAAGCCATCCTGAAGCGTGGTTCTGAGCCCACGTAAATGGGAAACGTAATTACTCCCTCCACCGGAACGGGTTGGTTGTCGAACCCGTAGATAGGCCCTTCATATTTTTGTAACGAGCTAGGGTTCAATTGCACCTTTTGAAAGCAACTCCAATACAGGATATCCGGCGAGCTCCCAGTGTCAATGAAGACCTTATTGACGTTATGGTTGCCTATATGGACTGTTGCTACAAAAGGATCCGCATGAGGCATCACGACGTCAGGCTCTCCTGCTCGCTGGTAATCTG